CAGAGACAACTTCTCTTCACTCCCCTTCTCCCCCTGAAGAGAAGGGGTCGATGGAGCCATATGATCAATGGTACTTGAGAAACATGCACTGACTAACACTGAGATGTAGCAGAATCATCCATGGCAGATAGGTGGTTAAATTGTAGCGGAATAGATGAGCAGCGGTGTCACTCCCCCTCAAATCCGACGATTTATGAGAGTCGAGATTTGGAGAAAGTAACACCCAAATAAAGTTGCAACACTCCCCCTCAAATTCGACGCTGGTAAAGGGTCGAGATTTGAAAGAAGAGAAATTGAAATAATAGTAAAGAGACTCAAACATGCCAGTCTCGTGGCAGAAACAAATGCAAGAGGGGAAGGTGGTAGCATACGGTTGTCCCATGAAGAAAAAACTTAAGAAAAGGAGAATAGTAAGGGAGGAAACCCAGCAAATCATGAACAGAGACAAAAACAAAGATAAGGTGCTCAAAACTGAGAAGCGGAAAGGCAACTCAAGAGAGTTGCCGAAGAAGACAGAGACCAGAAGAACAGTCAAAGGAAAGGCTCGGCGAGCGGTGACGAGGCTCGCGGAGGAAAACAACAGCTCGGTGAGCGGTGACGAGGCTCACGGAGGAAAGCAACGGCTCGATGAGTGGTGACGAGGCTCACGGGGGAAAGAGACTTGTTATGAAGTTTCAAAGATAGAGAAGCTGAGACATCAAGAAAGACCATAAGATGAAGACCCATGATAGGTTAGGAATGAGGAGTGCCAACGACTCTCAATTTTGCAGAGGTTATCACAGGATCGGAACCAGGCTCTTGATACCATGTCAAACAAAGTAGGGTAAATATTCAGTTATGCTAAGATACGCTCATATTCGCTCATATTTTTATTCTTCTCCAATATGGAGGTATTTATATAAGTATAACCCTAAATAAAATAGGAAATAAATCTAAATTACAATAGAAAGTAAATCTAAATTACAATAGGAAATAAATCTTAATTATTAGGGAGACTGATATGTTAGGTTGTCGCGGGATTTAACTAAATTTTGCATTTTGCGAAAAACAAATTGTCAAACAAAGTAGGGTAAATATTCAGTTATGCTAAAATACGCTCATATTCGTTCATATTTTTATTCTTCTCCAATATGAAGGTATTTATATAAGTACAACCCTAAATAAAATAGGAAATAAATCTAAATTACACTTTGCGAAAAACAAATTTGTATATCACTTAGTTGTTTTGGTATCTCCATTCAACAACGTTCGGTCACATATAATAACTGATCCGCTAATATAATTGATTGCATATAGCAAAACAGTGTTATCCCGATGACATTCAAGTTCATCTTCACATTTAGACATGATGTTGCCAATTTTCTATAATCGCGCGGTTTGTACTTTTGTATTGTTGTATTGTCATACAGATGAACACATGGAAAATGGGACTATATATTCAATTAGTAACATGGCTCTGCGGTATATATGCACAACTATATTGTCCAATCAGTAAACGTTTTTCATGTGTTGAATACATTTTAGACGATGAGCTTTGATTCGAGTATGGCAGTGATTGTTGATTGTTGAAACAATGACATTCCTCCATTAATATTGCAAGCTTGAGTTTGACCTGCCTTCACTTCACCTAACTAATTCCATATATATAGCGGACTTAGAAAATCTAGTTTCCACGAGACAAGAAGAAGAATATAACGCCATAATTTTCTGATAAAGACTCTCTCCCGCTTTGTGGAAAGCCATTAGTGCATGGTTAATGACTACTTACTTGAAAATATATATGTGAATTCAATATTTACTTAAATTTCATCTTTCTGGTCTCCATTCTAGGTGTTTTAAAAATCCGCATTTACATTCGCACAAAATCGATGTAGTAAACGTTACGAAACAGTTATACTTACACTCTTATTCATATGTTTGATCAAAATGAGATGAAATCGATTAGCACCAAAATAATGAACGGAAGAATACTTGACTCGGGCGTGCTTTTCTTGCCTACCAACACCAAGCAGACTGAATGATCAATCAAGAGTCAAGACCAACAATAAAGAGAGAATATAATTAATATTGTAACGAAAAGGTAATATGTTTTGCTAGATAAAGGAATTAAAATGTGCTCTAGTTATGTTTTACATATAAATTTCATATTTCAAAGTCAGCACCACATGGGAGCACAGACAAATTATACAAGAACACGATATTGCACACCAATTTTTCCACTTTGGAAGCCCCTGAATTTAATAATGTTATTTTTTGGAGTCAACAATAATACTTCAAAATCCAATGGTTCCAAATGCTTTTTTTTATTTTTATAATTCCATTGTTGATAATATCAAAATATATTTAATATATATGGCGGCAATACGGCATGTATGTCTGCTCCAAATTCTACCAGCTACCTTCGTTTCTCTCTGTTTTGTGTTTCTGTGTTCACATTTCAAGGCGGTCATGGTGGGGGGGTGTCTTGTTGAACATTCCATGTAGAAATTAATGGCAGACATTCTCTCTTATTTATTGGTAGACATGGTGAGGAAATTAAGCTAGGTTAGCTACTTGCTTAATTCTCTTTTATCATTAACCAAGCTTCAAAGTTATGTCAATATTTTTATTTCTTTTTTGTAAACAAAAGAAACGAGAACTATTAAAAAATGGGAATCATATCTGGAAAAGACATTATATGCATCCATTTTTGACAAATATTTTTCGAATACATACCTTATCTCTTTTCCTCCTTTGTATTTAAAAAAATAATCTCCATATAAATGTCACACTCTATACATATGTATTTTCTCTCCGAGCAATAGTAGTTGGAATAATTTGAAGCAACTTTCATGAGAAAAGAATATTCAACGGTATCGAAACACCGTCACATACTACAATCAATTAATCTCAAATCACTTTCAGATTAAGTTGTCGTTAAATTAATTTGCCTTGTGCAAATTGGAAAGACCATAACATAAACCACAAGCCTCCAACCACGTATATGGTGTTATCCTAGATTCCTGCTTTTACTCTTTGACATGAACTATTTGGCTAAGAGCTGGTTAGGTAGTAAGTCAAGGCTTTCATTTCCTGTCTAATATATTTGTTTAGATACCTACGTCATAATCTAATTGATTCATTTCTAAAAGACCCAAGGCAACTCGTCAGCATATGACCAAATTAAAAAGAAAAATATACAAGTTCAATCAAGAAAATGTTCAAATTTGACAAAATAAACTAAATAAAACAGTCAAACGGAGAAAAAGTTCACTCCACTAACAACGATATTGTCTTCAATTTAACCACCTATATGTTGTAATATATTTAGTCAAGTATCCGATATGGGATATTACATTATTCAACGGCTTTTACCATGTCTTTGCTATGGTCACTGGTACAAAATCCAAATGACAAAAGAAAAAAATAAATAAATATTCATATACCTTTAGTGAGTCAGATCAAAGTTAAGCAAGCTTAGTTAGAATAATAGTATTAATTAATTAATTAGGCTGCTTGAAAAAGGGTCTTGAGCATTGCATGATTGAATGACCATATCTAATCGAAATGGTGATGCCTGCTGCGTATACGTGCCTTCTGAACAATATTTTAGGGTAAGCCATGGAGAAGAAAAAGAAAACAAGTTTTGACTTCACTATCCATCTGACAATTACGAGTGAATTTAAAATAACAATAGGAAAAGTTTTCCGCCATCTAAAGTGTGCCTTGACTTTCATGAACTTCACGCATAATAAAATGATTCTCTTTGTCTTTTGTTCCTTATGAAATAAGAAACTATAATAACAAAAATAGGGTAATGCTAGGCTTACCACATTTTTCATACCACATTCATACATCTCTAATAGAATAGAGGTGGAGCCCACCAATACAATGGGGCCCACCTCTATTAGAGAGGTGGTATGAATATGGTAAGCCTAGCATTTTCCATCTTGAAATGAATGAGAATCGATACTTTTCTCTACTTCTCTTACAGACATTAAATCTTAAACATATTTCTCTACTTCTCTCACGAAAATCATCCGGAAAACCTTTACTCGATGTATTGTGTTGCATTCCTCGTTCCTAAATATTGCTTGTATAAAATTAGCCTAAGTTAATGTTTGATAATTAATATATATATACTAGCCTCTCCGCACGCGCTTCTGCGCTTGCGAGAGGCTTTTTTAAAAAAAATTTAAATTTATTTTAGAAGTAAAAAAGATAATGAGTGGTTGTGTTCCATAAAAATAGGATCTATTATCTGAATTTTCTTTTAATTTTAATTTTTTTTAATATGAAAAAGTATGAATTTACCATATTATCCTCATTTAATTAATAATTTCAATTCTTAATGTTTGCATTAATCAAGGGCATTTTCTGGTATTTTGAATGTTTCACCATTCTCTGCCTTTTGCTTTATATATATAGATAGATATATTAATGTGATAGGTATACAAAATTATTCCAATTCCTTCTTCTCTTGTGTCTCTTACTAACACATGGGTATTGAAATGATTTTAGATTCCTTACTTCCCATGAGTTTACTTTCCCTTATTCTTAAGTTTCCCGATTCATGAATTCCCACATTCCTTGCAAGTAAACATGCCATTATTTTTCTCGCAAAAAAAAAAAAAAAAGGCCATTATTTCTTTAAAGTTAACAAATAAAATACTTCGTATTCAGTATTTACTTTTTTAAACTTTCCATAATTTATATGGCTTTTACTAAAATAATGATTTGGTAATATAAAACAATATTGTAAACCAGTTATTTCCTAAACTATATGAAAAGTAAACCATAGTCCAAACCAAGACCAAAGAGTAGTTTTACCAAGTAAACTAAAAAGTATTTGAGAGAGAGAGAGAGAGAGAGAGAGAGAGAGAGGCAGGCTGATGTTCATGTAGCCGCTAGTGTAAAAGTATAACGGTATATATGGCAGTCACAGTGCCGTAAGCCAATGAAGCAGGAAAGAGAGAGGAAGAAGCAGAACAAGATGAAGACCAGGTAAGCACTTACAGAACAGACCACACACACAACATTAATATAATTTTTATATTAAAACGCAATTCACAGCCTCACTATTCTTTCTTTTATTTCCAAACCGCGTTTTCAACTCCAACCCTTTTGAAAACCAAAAACAGATTCAAACTCTTGGACATTGATTCTAAGCTGAGAAAGACACACAGACTCTCCTCACAACCCACTTGCCTCTTCCTTTCTTTGCTTTAACTGAGTCTTCTCTCTTCAATAAATATGTTCCCATCTCCCCAATATACACATTTTCACCTGCAAACTCTGTCTTCTTTCAATTTTTTTCCGTATCCTAGAAGCTATCTCTGTTTTTTAAAGCTTTAATTGAAGTTTCCGTTTCTGGGTTTTTGTCTCCTGTGCTTATAAACCCCCTTCTGCTTCGTTTTCATTTATTTTCCAATTTGTTTTCCTTGTTTCGTTGGAATTCAAGTCCTTTATAATTGTTCTGTTTCTGGGGTTTTCTTGTCACAACCACTTGAGAATTCTGAGTTCTGATTTTTTCACATAAAGCCTTGAAATTTCAGTAAAGTTTCAAGCTTTCTGGGTTTGTTTCCAGTTTTTTCTTCTTCTAAAGTTTTCTTCATGTAGGATTTTCAAACAAGAAGAGACGATCAGAATGGTTGCTAAGGCTTCTCTCATACTGGTTCTCCTTGTAATCTTCTCCTGCACTCTAGTTGCGATTGCTGGAATTCACAACCACAACAATCAAACTCCTAATGGCTCCACTCTCGCGGGCATAGAATTGCCAGAGCATATGAGCTTCAATGCTGTCTCCTCCTCATCCCACACTGGATGTAGCCTCAGCAGCTCAAAGAAAACCAAGCAATCAGATTCAACCATGGAAAAAGCAGTGTCCGATAATGAAGAATCTGACGACGACGAGGATGAAGTAGATGATGATTCTATGACAAAAATGAAACCCCATAAACAATCTGTGAAGCTCCACCTGAGGCACAGGTCACAGAACAGAGAATCCGAGCGTAAGAGTTCTGTGATTGAGTCCACAGTCAGAGACTTGGTCAGAATTCAGACCCTCCACACAAGGATTGTTGAGAAAAAGAATCAAAATACCATGTCAAGGCTACAGAAAGACAAGAAGATCCTCGAATTCAAGCCAGTTGTTGCTCCGGCAGCGTCGCCGGAGTCTTATACAAGCGAGCTTTCCGGTCAGCTTCAGGCGACTTTGAAGTCCGGGGTCAGCCTGGGTTCTGGAGAGTACTTCATGGATGTTTTTATTGGTACACCTCCCAAACACTTCTCTTTGATACTTGATACTGGTAGTGATCTTAATTGGGTTCAATGTGCACCTTGCTATGCTTGTTTTGAGCAAGATGGACCACATTATGATCCTAAAGATTCCACCTCTTTTCGAGACATAAGCTGCCAGGATCCGCGGTGTCGATTGGTTTCGTCCCCGGATCCTCCTCAGCCTTGCAAGGCTGAGAACCAAACATGTCCCTATTTCTACTGGTATGGGGACAGTTCCAATACCACTGGGGATTTTTCCCTTGAAACCTTTACTGTTAATCTCACATCACATACTGGGAAGGCAGACTTTAAGAGAGTGGAGAATGTGATGTTTGGATGTGGCCATTGGAATAGAGGCCTGTTTCATGGGGCTGCAGGATTGTTAGGACTTGGGAGAGGGCCTCTCTCCTTTGCCTCTCAGCTTCAATCACTTTATGGCCATTCATTCTCTTACTGTCTTGTAGATAGAAATAGTGACACCAATGTTAGCAGCAAGTTGATTTTTGGGGAGGACAAGGAGCTCTTGAGCCACCCAAAGTTGAGGTACACCTCATTGGTTGGTGGCAAAGAAAACCCTGCTGATACATTTTACTATGTCCAGATAAAATCCATCATGGTTGGAGGGGAAGTGGTTGACATACCAGAGGAGACATGGAATTTGACACCAGAAGGTGCTGGAGGCACAATCATTGATTCTGGCACCACACTGAGTTATTTTGCAGATCCTGCATACCAGATTATCAAGGAGGCATTTTCGAAGAAGGTTAAAGGATATCCAGTTGTAAAAGACTTCCCATTTTTAGATCCTTGTTACAATGTGTCTGGTGTTGAGAAGATAGAGCTTCCAGAATTTGCAATTCTGTTTGCTGATGGAGCAGTTTGGGATTTCCCAGTTGAGAATTACTTCATCCAGATCGATCCGCAAGAGGTTGTTTGCTTGGCAGTGCTGGGAACTCCAAAATTTGGTCTTTCAATCATTGGTAACTATCAGCAGCAGAATTTTCACATCCTCTATGACACAAAGAAGTCTAGGCTAGGATATGTACCAATGAAATGTGCTGATGTTTAACAATATTTTGTTGGAAGATCAGGAGGAGGTGAAAAACTGTAAACAATTTTTTTTTTCTCTCTTTTTTTTTTTAGTTTTTCCTCCCGACAAGGATCTGAGGTAACGCACAGAAATTAGATTCATTGTTTTTTCATTTTATATTTTTCTGAAGTTCAAGTGATTACATATTGATAGCTAGACAGGGTCATAATCTGTACTGATCAAACAAGCAATCTTATCAATGCATTTTTTCAAATTTTATATTTCCTGGTGTTCTTGTTGACTTCTGATCTCTAAGTTTAATTGAGTGAATCATTCATTCATGATCACTTTATGAGTGTCTTTATGCAAATAGGGGATTTGGAGGGAGGCTGATATTCTATGACCTAATCTAATTTCATTGTTTAAGACCAGAAAGTTTACTCAAACGGCTGGTTTGAGAGTCTTGAGACCTTTGTTTATTGCTCACAGATTATTTCATTTTGGAAGGCTTCTGTGTGTGAGTTTGCACATGAATTTCTAAATCTTTGTTGCCCTTTTTTCTCCATTTGTTTTTGTTTATCCTAATTCCTTATCACTCCTTGGACTATAAATATTTATTTTGTATGCAGGTCGTTGGTTCCTGATATTGAATGTAGATTATAAAACAAAAAGACTGGTCAATTTTTAGGTGCAAGAAACTTAAACATATAGTGTGTGTATACAAACAAAGAACAAGTCAACCCTTTGGGCTGCCACAATTACTTTTTATTTCAATCTCTATATATACAGTTGATGATAAGGTTACTCCATTCAAAGGTGGGCCTAGATTAGCCTCCTAAGAATATGCTTGCTCTGGGTGTAACAAAACAAATGTGTTAAAATCATCAGCCTTTACGTTATATATTTTTTTATAGCACAAATGAAGGTGGTTTCTCTCACACACACAACTAAGATGCCATAAGTGTTCGAATATGAGATATCTGGTCTGCAAGTCAATGCCCTTTTCCATTCGGCTAGACCCTATTGGCCATTAGCCTTTACTTTTGTTCTAGTAATATTATAGTCATTCTGATGCTTTGTAAGCTATCTCATATCTCAACTCTGCTTCACAAGCTGCATATATAAGTTTATAGTTAATTTGGATAGGTTTGAGTAATCTCGTGTCTGTGTAATGTAAACATTTATACACAATGCATGTATATATGTATATGGTTAATTTGGAGTTTGGGACAAGTACTTAAAAGTGGATATGTTTTGTTGTGGACATGAATAGTATTTCTGACGTAAATGAACCACATAAAATCTTGAGACAACCATAGTTTTAATGCTTTGAAATTTCTTCTACATGATGGAAGAAATGACCAGATTCCACATCTAGAGGGGCCATAGCTAGCTCTCACCATAAGAGCCAGCTTTGTTGAAAGAAATTTCCAACATATTGCCTTGCAAGGTGGCTTATTGCAGAATATCTGAAACCAAGACTCATCTGTTCCCAATTCAATTATTCTCGTTCATTCATCCAACCCATTTAATGCACAACTTGCAAGCGTATGTTTCACCGATATTATCTCAAACTTAACCAGTCATAGAGTTCGACAAGTCTAGTATATTAGGGAAAATGTTTCTGCTTCAAGGGGTGATAAATATGGATGAACAAACTTCAATGTCTAGCAATAAACTCCAGTAAATGAGCTGATTTAGATGTCTCTCAATCTCAAGTCTTTCTAATGAATCTGATTAAAGTTGATTACATGATATGAGGTGCGCACGTCTCTCTCTCAGAATAGGTAGGACTTGAATTTTCTCACTATTAATTGCAATTTGCCAAGCTTGACAAATACCCATCTGCGTCCGAGAGAACCGTGGTTCAGTGGAAGACTACCGGAATGGAAATGCAATTTGTTATCCTCACCATTCTAATTTCTTCTAACTATTTCAATGTGTTGACCTGCAGTCAAGGTTTTTGTGTGCACAAAATCACAAGTTAGACCTGCTTGTGTGCTTATTGTCACGACCCACGTGGTCAAGTTGGGTTTCTTGCAGGAACCTTTTTTTCCAATCCGACGAGAAGTCAAGAAAGGGAACTAGGAAGATAACTTATGAAGGGAAACTTGTCACAAAATGAAATGGTTTTTTTATTTTAAATAATAGTTTAAACTACAAAGGAATGAGATTTCTCTCACACACATTACCAATATGCCATGAGAGTTCGAAGTCTGCAAGTCAATGCCCTATTTCACTGGACTAGACTCCGTTGGCATTACACATTTGAAGCCCAAACCAAACAAATTCAAATTAAGATGTTTATATAAGGGGCTATGTTGATGGGTTACAATGTGGGGGTCCAATAGCTATTAAGGACCCTCTCCTTGTAACCTCTCAAGGTAGCCTCTTTGTAACATTGGACCATGCTGTTTAGTTCTAAACCGAATCAAATTGGACCGTGCCCACCGGCTTAAAGCCTTAAAAAGTTATTCATGGGCCAAACACTATGCTCTGTTGCAGTTTGAGTTTTATTGGGCTGCTTGAATGACATAGAAGTTCAACAAAATCAGCACCTTCCAGAATTTGTGATCTATCGCCCTTATTTCGTTTTTATTTTGGACTTCTTTAAAACTTAAAAAAAAAAAAAAAAAAGAAATCTAAAAATTAAAAGATCCAAATTTGTTTTTGGGCTGTATTATTTTGGCCCATAAAATGTTGGGCTTTAGTTGGACTCTTGAGGGCCCATACAGAAAGTAGAAGAAGTAGGGTTTTTAACCTTCACTTGTTAGAGCATTGGAAGAGAACCTGTTTTTGGAGACAGAGCAGCCAGCAGTCAGCAGCGGCCTCTCTCCCACATCCCAAATGGTTACCTTCAGGGTGAGTCTCCATGATATTCTCTTGATCTAGCTACCACAACCCATTATCGGTTGTTAGTTTTTGTTTCCATGGGAAACTTTTGTATGCTTTCATTTCGTTTCTCTGTACATATTTTGTGATTTTACTTTGTTTTCAATTAGTGTTTAGCTTTATGTTTTCTGCAAACATGGATTTAGGGAGCATAGAATGATGGGTTTTGCTTTGTGTAAACAGTTTCATCAGTACCAGGTGGTGGGAAGAGCCCTCCCATCTGAAAAAGATGAGCATCCCAAGATCTACCGTATGAAGCTCTGGGCCACCAATGAGGTCCGTGCCAAATCCAAGTTCTGGTGAGCACTTTTCCATGTACTATTTGCTATATTTCTTTTATTTGGTTCCTGAAAAATGTAGGGGATATGAAAAGAATGAATTTTTAATCTTAGATTCTTGGTCATTTAGGAGTTAGGACCTCAGATAAAATAAGCCCACACTTGACTGTGCGTACCAATGTAACAAATTCATATGTTTAGAATCTTCTTTGATTTCCGGATGGTGCCAATAAAAGTTAAACAAGTATAGAGTTTAGGTTCCATGAAAGAAAGAAATTAATTGCATGATTTTTATGGACCTTTCATGGTTTTCATTGGTCGCGAATTCTTCAATTTCTGTTGTTATGTTTTCGGGTTCTCTTTCAGATGTTTTTGTCCATTCATTTGTTATGTTTTGGGATCTCGTTCAGATGTTTTACTCAATTCATTTGAACTTCTTTTTATTATTATTTTAAATTAGGTACTTTTTGAGGAAGTTGAAGAAAGTGAAGAAAAGCAATGGACAAGTTTTGGCCATTAATGAGGTAGGCATCTTGCGCGTCTGTTAACGTCTCTCTTCCACTATGAGCCAACATGAGCTGCTAATGTGTTCTTTTACCAATTGTGGATTGGCTTCTTAAGCTGTCCCTGATTCAAATTAAAATAAGGTCTAGTTTGATTGTTCATGCTTAACCAAGAGCTAAATTGAATGTTTACCCACTTTGTAATAATGTTTACTTATATTCTTATGATAAATGCTTGAGGTTTTCTGTTCCTGAAAGATTGGCACTTATAGGTGGAATCAGCATTTTAGATTTAAGGTTCTCTTTCATGTATGATTTTAGATTTTTATGTATAGATTAGATGATGTGAATTTTCTATTGTAGTGTATACAGTATCAGGTGAACACATCGTCACTGCCAAGAACTTTTTTCTTTTTCTCTTTCCAGTCTTACCGGAAAGAGTTGTTTACTAGTGTTTTTTACCGACTATAGTATTCACAGTATTTGGGTTGAGAAGAAGAATATGATATTTTCTTATTGCAGATATTTGAGAAAAGTCCAACAACGATCAAGAACTATGGAATTTGGCTGCGATATCAGAGCCGAACCGGTTATCACAACATGTACAAGGAATACCGGGACACTACTCTCAACGGTGCTGTAGAAGACATGTACACTGAGATGGCATCTCGTCACAGGGTGAGGTCTCCATGCATCCAAATCATTAAGACAGCTACCATCCCTGCAAAACTTTGCAAGAGGGAGAGCACCAAGCAGTTCCATAACTCCAAGATCAAATTCCCATTGGTGTTCAAGAAGGTTAGGCCCCCAACCAGGAAGCTCAAGACAACATACAAGGCAACCAGGCCCAACATCTTTGTGTAATTTTGTTGCCTTGCGGTTTCCTTTCATCTGAAAGCTTCGCACTTTAATTAGCTAAACTAGTTGAACCTAGGAATGGTGATGAAAGTTTTACTGAATTTTGGTTTCTTTCGAGTATGAACATTCTTTTTCTGTTATCCAGAGTGTTTCAGTTTTGAAGATTGTGGCTTTACAAGTCTATAATGAGCTTGGTACTTTGTTTTATGCTTTTCCTAAACCTTTTGATTATGAAGATTGTGTCCTCCATTCCATCTGTAGGAGTCAAGTTTTAACAGCGAACTACTGCAGGGCTTTCAGGCAACGGTGGCGGAATTAAATTAATGAAGTGACTTTCTACAGGTTATAAAAATCCATATTTTATTTGGTGAGAGAAGTGGCAACTCTTTTTATGTCCTATCTCGAAATGATAACCTATCTCGAAATGATAAACAAGACCTTGATCAAATGGGAAAAACATGTACTATAACCAAAGCTTCTTTATGGGTTTTCTTTTAAGTATCAATGTGGAAGCTTTCGTCCAAAAAAATAATTCAATGTGGAAGCTCCCTTGGCTTCGGTTACACTCAATAATCTAAGAAACGAGAGATCACCAATCCAAGTGGGTGCATCAAAACCCCAGAATTACAATAAAAAGAGAGGTGGTAAGAGTATATGCAGTGATTAGGATGATTGCAAATTTATTGCATAAAATTGAACTAAAAGAGTAAAATTTCACTTGCAATGGTGTGATTTAGTTCATTGCAAATTCAATAGATGCAATTGCAATAGAGGGTGCTATGTGATGAACCTATTGAATCACAATAGGCTAATCATGGGACTCACATGCCAATAAAAAAACCAGCAATTAATGCATTATGCTATTAATGTATAATACCAATTAATGGAGAAATTATAGAATAATACAATATCACCACGTTAGGTTGTAGTACTTCCATTCAAAATTTGCCATGTGTATTATTTTTTATAAGAAATTAAACTATTGTTCCAGTTGGATTTGCAACTCCAATTTTACCCTTCACAACAAAATTAAAAAAATTGTTAGAAAAACAGAGAAAATGAAAACAACCCCTACCATCGCACTGACACCATCATCCGACGGCCCTCCCTCTCTGTCTTTCCATTACTTGATGTTCATTCAAATGTCTCGGTAAATTAGTAAATTAGTATTTCAATTTGATAATTAATAAATTAGTATTTTGTTTGAATATGGACCCATTTGCAATGATTAGAGATCTTGCAGGTGCTTCCATGGGTTAAAGAGAAGTTGCTGTTTCAGGGAGAGAGACGAAGGGCCCGCGGAGTGACCAAATTCGTAATAATATCTTCATGTCTAACACATACAACGTGATTGAAAGACTTGCTACTATGGGTTTGATGCTTGCAGGACTGGGCAAATTGCTATGCACCTGATTAACAAATTGAAATGGGATTTGGGTCTTCTTCACGGTATTGTTTGTTGAAGAAAGGAGCTTTCTTGGCACAATTGGGGAGAAGGGCAATGATGGGATGTGATTTGATTGCCAAAATACAGAAACAGAGGAATGAAATAAGAGGATGGGGGTGGCAGCCATGGGAGGCAGAGCGACGGCACGATAGTGAGATTGAGGGTGAGCGATTATTGCTGGAACATTTTCTCTTCTATTTCTTTTAATTTTTTTAATTTAAAGGGTAAATTTGGAGTTTCAAATCTTCTCTCCAACCTTCTCTTTTGAATATTCTCCCTTTTTCACATGACACGTGTCACATTTCTTACACTTAAAACAATGTCATGAATGCATAGATTTTGTTTTCCAAGTTTACCCTTATTAAATATAATTTTTTTCCCTTATTTGGCTTCCATGTTTCTTTCAATTAATCCAAATTTTTTTTTACAGCTTTCTTATCACCTTGTTAAAAAAAATTAAAGCCTTGTTAAAAAAATTAGGGTTATTCGCAACAATTGTCCCCCAACTATACCCGTAGTTATAGTTTGGTCACTCAATTCAATTATTAGTTGCAGAGGTCACTCAAGTAGGTGTTGTGTTGCACCATTAGTCCTTCCATCAAACTCTGTTCAATTTTCTGTCAAAAGTGAGGGTAAATTTGAAAATTCATCCATAACCCTCCCCTTCATCCGCAATCCTCCATTCTCGCAACCCAATCCTTACTTCTTCTCCCTTATACCAAAATCTGGGCAGAAAAAGGAAAAGAGAAAGACAACTCGATTGCTTCTCCTCCCTTGTACCAAACTCGCCACCAAATCCTTCCTCCCACCCCAACCCATCGCTCACTGTAAACCATCAACCATAAACATCCATAAATGTAGAGAGAGAGAGAGAGAGAGAGAGAGAGAGAGAGAGAGAGCTCGCCACTTTCTTCCTATATTACAACTATTAGTATTAGTGAGGGATATGGAGGTGGGTTTGGGAATTGTGTGTGTGTATATAAGGGGTAAGAGATTTTCACAGAAATGGGGGAGCAACAGGCTGTAGGAGTTGCCTGCTAGTTGGGTATCACATATATAAGAGGAAAGGGGTTTCAGAGAGAGAGAGAGAGAGAGAGAGCAGTGAAGGGTTCTCTATGGGTTTCTTTTGTTTTTTCCATTACAAATCTGAAACAGGTTGGGATTTTTATTTTACGATTTAAGACTGAAAAATCTAAGCTCGAAAGCTCAAATTTCAAGCTTGAAATTGTTATTAAAACTCAAGAAAGCTATGGTTTTCCATTATTAGAAGCTCAAATCAAAATCCTAATCTCACTGTTTCTGGGCGATGAAGAAGTTGTGACTCTTTCAGAGGAACAACACAAAAAGCTTTCAACTTTTGCTGAAATGTCTGTGGAGAGGTCCTTCGAAACTTGGGAGGAGGTTTAGCGCCATGGCCAGGACTTAGTGGACCGCCTCGCTGTTGCGTCGATTCAGCTGCACCAAAATGGATTCAGCTGCATCTTCAACTTGTGATACTCACAAGTGCACGAGCCGTTCGGTAGTATAAGATATGTAAGTGCGAGGTCGATTCCACAGGGATTGGTGATTGAATAATCCAAATGGGGTTTCCGCGATTCTCAATATTGGTAACAGGATCGGGCAAGTCGGGGCGGATTTCGGGGCGTGCTTGAATGGGATGGTTCAACAGTTCTTTAGGACCTTATCGGTACCGTTTAGGCATGATGAAAATACTGCTATAGTGGCTGTTCAAGTTTGCTCAGAGAGAGAAAGAGAGAGAGAAAGGGAGGGTTGTTGAGGAAGGGGAGGGTTGTGGATGAACTTCCAAAGTTACCCTCACTTTTGACATAAAATTTAACAGAGTTTGACAGAAGGACTAATGGTGCAACACAACACCTACTTGAGTGACTTCTGCAACTAATAATTGAATTGAGTGACCAAACTATAACTATGGGTATAATTGAGGGACTATTGCTGCAAATAACCCAAAAAATTAAATAAGAAAAGGGTAATGCCATGCCTTTTTTCATAATTAAAAAACAATAAATAAATAAATAAAAATTATTTTTTTAAAAAAACTAAGTCTTTCTCCCTTCGTCTTCCTCTTCCTCTTCCACGTCAAACCCCCACCCCACCACCCCAAAACTGTTGTAGGAAAAAAAAAAACCTGAGACACCCATCTCATGCGGCCAAGGCTGCCATATAATGAAGAAAAGAACAAATCCAAATCCTAAATTTCATATCATAAAAACAAATTGCACCAAGTAAATCAACTGTTACTGGGTGAGTGTGGCGCGACAAAAGGACTATTTTTTTCATCCAAATTCCAAAGATTATTTGGAAGAGTAAAATTGGGTTTCAATTGTAAAAATATTTGCTGATACATTCCTTCGATAAATCTTGGAATTGATTTTAGTAGTAATAGAGAATCAAAATGGGGCCACGCCTACACTGCGTCGAGGATAGGGTGGGTTTGGGATGAGACAGGTTGGAGAAGAAAAGAAGGCTAAGACAAGTTGGAACAGAGAATAAGGCCTGGGTTTGGTGGTTAGATTAGTTGGGTGTGGGGTAGGGTGGGGTGGGGTGGGGTGGGGTGGGAAGAGGGCGGTTGATGATTATACAGGGAGGCTTTTTAGTGTTATTACGTTTATTCATTTTAATCTATTTGAGTAAACTATTAATTATTGATTTGAAGATATAACTATTAATTTGAAACTATTAAACTGTACCATTGTAACTAAAATTGCAATTCAATTCCATAGATGCCAAAATATACATTGAATTATTGAACCATGATTGAGGCATGATTGCGGATGCTTTAAAAGCGGAGAAATTAATGAAGCGACTTTCTACAGGTTTTGAAAATCCCAAATTTTGTATATTAGCGAGTTAAGTGGCAACTTTTCTTTGTCCTACGTTAAAAAGATGAACAGAGGCTTTTGTTCCTTGTGGGTTTTACGAACGTGGAAGCTTCCATAACTTCGGATAATCTAAGAAACCAAAAGGAAAAATCTGGTTTTGATAAAACTTCCTCATCTACCTTTCCCATAAGTCCGAAAATGAAAAATGAAAAAAGAGAGGAGTAAATGATGGGTGGTGTTGGTGGTAAATTGGCAACCACACTCGTAGGCCGTAGCTAATCTCAATGGATCAAAACCATGGTGTAGTTGGTGGTGGTTGGTAGATTAAACGTACACAGCAAGGCTTAGAGAAACAGCTGGACATAAAAATAAAGACTTGGACATGGATGCTCTCTCTCTCTCTCTCTCTCTCTCTAACAAACGAGTAGCTATCAAACAGTAAATAGCCAACGTTAAATACTGCACCATCATCACCCTCTTCACAAACCCACTTTGGTCGCTGCATTTTTTGTACAAGCTCCACGGTTCATGTAAGTTCTCATTGCTTCTTTGATAGATTTGCTGTCGAGTCAGCTCAAAAAAATTGAACTGCAATGCTTCTAATTCTACTTTGAAAGATTGGAATGAAATGGGCAAGTTTCTTGGCGGTTGGCCCCCGATTCTGGAACTAATTATCTGGGATTAGTTCACTGCTCAAAAAATTCATGTTTTCCTCATTGCCCCTTGTTGTTAATTTGTTTGTGCAGCTTGTTGGCTTCTAATCCACTAGTTAATTGATCATTTAAATGGCACAAGAAGTTGTAAATTCAGATGAGGTAATCTCCTTGTGCAATTGTAATTGCACCAACCTTTCTTTGGATGTTTATATTTTTAGTTTTCTTCTTGCAAATAGTGAACATGATAACTGTCTGCTAATTAGTAATTACCATATGGGTGTTTATGTAATCTTTTAGGTTGTTCTTGGAGAAGAAATAGACCATGTGAGGTTGATCACCTTGAACAGGCCTCGTCATTTGAATGTCATCTCATCAAAAGTGGTATGCTCACAAAGTCAACTAGTTTTGTTTAAGTTCTTGGTTTTTTTTTTTTTTTTTTGGGGTTCTTTATTCACTTTTTTTTCACTGCACTCAAGATCTCTTTGATAATATTTTAATGGTACAATTTTTAGTGTTATTACGTTTATTCATTTTAATCTATTTGAGTAAACTATTAATTATTGATTTGAAGATATAACTATTGATTTGAAACTATTAAACTGTACCATTGTAACTAAAATTGCAATTCAATTCCATAGATGCCAAAATATACATTGAATTATTGAACCATGATTGAGGCATGATTGCGGATGCTTTAAAAGCGGAGAAATTAATGAAGCGACTTTCTACAGGTTTTGAAAATCCCAAATTTTGTATATTAGCGAGTTAAGTGGCAACTTTTCTTTGTCCTACGTTAAAAAGATGAACAGAGGCTTTTGTTCCTTGTGGGTTTTACGAACGTGGAAGCTTCCATAACTTCGGATAATCTAAGAAACCAGAAGGAAAAATCTGGTTTTGATAAAACTTCCTCATCTACCTTTCCCATAAGTCCAAAAATGAAAAATCTGGCAATCACACTGTAGCTAACCACAGTGGATCAAAACCACGGTATGTTGGTAGTTTAAACATACACGGCAAGACTTGGAGAAATTGCTGGCCATAAAAATAGAGACTTGGACGTGGATGCTCTCTCTCTCTCTCTCTCTCTCTCTCTCTCTCTAACAAACGAGCTACTTAAGTAGCTAGCAAACAGTCAAACAGTCAATAGCCAACGTTAAATACTGCACCATCATCAACCTCTTCACAAACCCACTTTGGTCGCTGCATTTTTTGTACAAGAGCTCCACGGTTCATGTAAGTTCTCACTGCTTCTTTGATCGATTTGCTGTCGAGTTAGCTCAAAAAAATTAAACTGCAATGCTTCTAATTCTACTTTGAAAGATTGGAATGAAATGGGCAAGTTTCTTGGCGGTTGCCCCACAATTCCGGAACTAATTATCTGGGATTAGTTCCCTGCTCAAA